TAGAACAGATAATGGATGTCTATTCTATTAACATTTCTCTATCTGGAGAATGGGTTCAGAGGGGCCCCTTCCTTTCTTGCCTAGGGCCCCACATTTCCTAAATCCACCCCTGCCGACCATTTTTCTGACAAAGTTCTTCCTTCCACTCAACTTTCCACAGCAGCCCAGAGCAGCTGGCTTCTTCAGGTGAGCTTTGCTCCTTGAGGAGGAAGTCAGAGACGGTCGGTCTGCAAAGTTCTGTGTTTTGGCCCTAATGGACCGAACAGAACCGGGTTCTAGTGACTCAGCATTCTCTCTTTCTGATCAGTTTCTGGAGCTAAAGTCAGTTTAATCCCAATGAACACGAGACAAAATGAAAATTTAACTGTTATTTTCAAGATAACAATCATAGAGGTGAAGATGACTGTTTTGTAATGTTTCCTGAAATGTGCGTTTCATGGGGGGGGGTCAGATAATCAGCCCTAAACGCAGCGTCTCTTCCTCTTCCTGTCAGCTGTTCAATGAATCATAGAAAAGATGATGCGTCGCTGAGGTCACAGCCCGCAGCATCATAGATACTGAAAGGACTCCTGGCTGCCTGGTGACGGCCCGGAACAAACCAACAGCTTCTGTGTGCAGAGCCAAGATGGCTGCCGCTGCTGCAGTGACCCCACAGGGCCCAGCGCTAATATTAGACCCTGAGACGGGAATGCATCTGTTAGCGATCCCCCTGAGGGGACATGAGACACGCTGAGAGGCAGCAGCGGGACAGAACCGGGTCAGGAGACAGGACAAACCAGGACAAGGCTGCTGCAGCCTGCAGAGGGACAGGAAGGCAGGGGCCCAGCAGTGAGGGACGGAACCACAATGGAAGGAACCAAGATGGACGGAACCATGATGGACGGAACCGAGATGGATGGAACCGAGATGGACAGAACCAAGATGGATGGAACCGAGATGGACGGAACCAAGATGGATGGAACCCCGATGGACGGAACCAAGATGGATGGAACCGAGATGGACAGAACCAAGATGGACGGAACCCTGATGGACGGAACCCCGATGGACGGAACCAAGATGGATAGAACTAAGGAGCACGGAACCGGGATGGGAGAAAATCACGATGGCAGATCAGAACAAGCTCCTTCTAGCAGCTGTCAGGCAGGGTAGGGGAGGAATGGTGATGTGATTCCTACAGTCCCTGAGTGGACCGTGATCTCTGTCCACCAAAGTCCTCCAGAACCAAAGATGACTGTCCCACAGCAACAGAACCACGACCCGAACATTCTGAGGTTCTCTGATGTTTCCTCGTCTCCAAGATGCGCTTCTGATCCAGAAACATCATCTGTAGAACCGGATCATGATCGACTCCGAGGTCCAAACGCTCCAAACCGCTCCGACTGCAGCGCCGCCCAGAACCAGCACTGAGTTCTGGAAGGTCTGGGAGGTTCTGAGGTCTTCCAGAGCCTCCTGGGTCCAAACAATCCTGCGCTGACCCGCTTTGAGCTGCTCCCGGTCCTGAAGGCACACTGGGTTTTCTCTCAGCCACCAGACAGAAAGAATGTCCCTGTTTATCTAACGCTGCGGACCGTTCCGCACTCTAACATTCCTCACACCGTCACATGCTGGCCGCGCCGCACGCCACGCCGCACCGCGCTGCGCCGGGCCGGGCAGCAGCGGCTCTCAGAGGAACCAGAACCGTCTTTGTTTTCCAGCTGATTCTCCTGGGGAACAAAGCGGCCCGTTCAGGCCTTCACAGACTCTCCTGTGATCCAGCAGAGCAGCTGATCTCAGTCAGATCGGTTCTTTCCAGAACAAAGGAGAAAAACCCAAACCAGCAGAACCTGGACCCCACCTGCTAGCAGAACTGACC